CAGAGTTAACGTTTTGAGTCTGATATGACTCTGTTTCAGAACCTTTCTTCTGTAGCAGAGTCATACCAGACTCGAAACATTAACCCTGTTTCTCTGTCCACAGATGCTGCCAGACCTGCTGAGTTTCTCCATCATCCTCTGTATTTGTTTCTGATTTCAAAACATATTTAATTGGCTGTAAAAGGCTTTACAACATCTAATACTCAAGCAAAGCGCTATCTAAATGCAGGTTGTGGCCAGACGGGCCACTCAACATGGCGGAATTACGGATAACAAATAGAGCATGCTGGGAAATCGAGCCGAGCATTTGCCAAAAGTATCTGTGCTAAAAAAAAACACAGAAATAAACAAGTTGCAGACCTAGACAGGTTGCAGCTGCAGGCAGCACAATATACAATTTGACCCAGCCCATCCCCAAGACAATAAGAAACATTGAGTCATTTTCCAGAACAAAGGGGAGCCTCACACCCTCATTTGGGAGAGGCTCTCTGACCTACATGCCCCTAATATCTTCAGGAATGGAGGCCCATGGACCATCCCATCATCAACACATCAGCACCTGATTGGGTCCGATCGATCAGGATGATCGAGCCCTGATTTATCCATTGGTGGGAATCGAAGACCCTCCCAAAGGGGTGCGAAAGATTCCAGGTATCAGAATCAGCACAACACCACCATCGGGAGTGATAACTCGAGACCACAACCATGAAGGGAAGGTGACCCTGGGACCACCGGGAGAGGAAGACCAGACGATTTTCATCATGTGGATCAAGGCCAAGATCTAGTGTGGTGCTATTTGATCATTCAACGTTAAGTTAAAGTATGAGATGGTTAATTAGATTCATAGTGTTAATTGTTAGTTTGTAGTGTATTTTGTTATTATAGTACTAATTGTGTTGATGTAGATAAAGATCATTTCTTTTACTATTGAGAGTTGACTTGCGCTTTCTTTGCTGGATAGAAGGGTTAAAACAGACTGTTGTGGCAAGCACAACAAAATCTTTCTATATTTATTGGATAAACGCCCCCTTCAGTGACTCCCTGTCCAATTAACACATAGTACTATCTAAAGGCTTAAACTATGGGATATTTAGATAATAGAATCAGTTCAAATTGATGTAAGTCTGATGAAGGGAAACCTCCATTCTGCCCAGGATAGGATGGTACCACTCGCTTCATTCACCCTTTCGTGATTATGCACAAAGGAGCCCTTAGAAGAACTGACACCTTTCTGTCTGTTTTGTTGTACTTTCAGCGACTATTCTGTATGGTTCACTTTTATCTTTTGAATCATGGACTAAAAATAGGAAAAGGACATGCTTTAAATCAAGGAAATTGTCTAAGAGAGTGTTTGCAGTCTTTTTAAATAAAATGTCACTGGAAACCATTGTGAGTTGTATATACAATGTTGCCTTAATCAAATAGTGAGCATAATTGCCTGACAAATAATCACTGTGTGCGCATGCTCAGGACAATTCTGCTTAGAGACTTTTTTTTATATCAGTCTTTCAATCAACACCAGTTGTGTAGGCTCAGGCGAGCTCAGCGTTGTGACCCACTTAGGAAAATGTGCTGATACTTGAGCCCCACTATTCCCGGGATCATCACAAAAGTTAAAGATTTAATCAGATTATTTAAAGTCACTAATTTTCCTGTGTGGTGAACACAGGTTAACAGAAAACATTAACCAGGTTTCTGTACTTAACAAGAACTGAGTACCAATTACAAATAAATCAGTTCGAATCACAGGCAAACAAAATACGAATGATCAACGTGTAACTCTACCTCTTCTTAAACCTCTACATACACATATAGACATTGACAAACAGGAATGTATGTGAGTGAACACAATATACTGGGGCAGAAACAAGTCTAAAAGATTCACCGAGGTGTCCTAAAGCTTCTTCTGAGTTCTCCTGATCTCCAACTATTGTTTTTTACCCTAAGTCTTTTCAGTTCTTAACCTCTGACACAAGGCAGTTGACACACTAATTGTTCATTTTCTCAGTCATCAGTTAAAGACAGCAGCTTATAGGCAAATATTGAGAAAGAATATCTTCCAATGCATTGTTACTTCTCTTTAGAATCTTTTTACAGTCTGCTGGCTTTCTGTCCCTGTTTTGTTTACACACAGGCTGCCCTTCCGCCAAGGATCCAGTCAGTGTTGTTCTCGACGCTGAACATTCCTGACCCCCACAAGTGGGGCCTGATTGAAAAACCAATCAATGGGGCTGTGTCTGAGCAAAATTGCCCTGAACACCCTCACACCCACCCACCCACCCACCCACACACACACACACACACACACACACATACACACATACACACACACAATCTCACACACACACAATCTCACACACACACAGACACACACACACACACACTCACTCACCCACACACACCCACTCACTCACCCACATACACTCACTCATCCACACACACACTCACTCACCCACACACACACTCACACACACACATTCACACACTCGCCCACCCACACACACTCACATACACACACACACAAACTCACACACACACACTCACACACACATACACATACACACACACACACACACTCACACACCCACACACACACTCGCACACCCACACACACACACTCACACACAGACGCACACACGATGAGTCCAACAGTCTTCCTCTATTTCTCAAACAAAGTGTAAATGCAACTTGCATAATAAAATAACTTATTTTAAAAGTACAAAACGCTTCCTTCTACCATTTCCCAGGTTTACAGCAGTACCCTTTTCCCATTTTGGTTTACATTTCAAAAGTAAATAAAAACAGAAGGATGTCTTTATGATGCACCAGCTCTATTCCCTGCAAAGAAAAGTGCTCTTTCACACTCCCTCAGCCACATGCAACAGCATCTGTGATCCAAACTGGTACCAGAACTGTGCATCGGTCTCCATCACCAATAATCATAGAATCTCTACAGTGTGGAAACAAGCCCTTCAGCCCAACAAGTTCACACTGACCCTCAGAGCATCCCACCCTGACCCATCCTCCTATAACCCACACATTGCTGAACACTACAGGCAATTTAGCATGGCCAATCCACCTGTGTGAGGAGGAACAAGCCCAATTGAATGCAAAAGGCTGCTTGCAATTGAGGTTTTCACAAAATCTCAACAGAACAGGGAGACCGCACAGGAATAAATCCCGATCGCATTGGAGGCCTGTTACACAGCTCTGCCAACTGCAGCCTAGGCATTGCCAAGCACAGTCAAGATGTCCATGGCTATATGCTGCCCCTGACTCCTCTCTCAGCCTGGCATAGGTACAACCTGCCCAGCTACCAGTGCTGCTGATTTCTCTGCTCTCATGTTGTTGAAAGTTGATATTCTTGAACATTCTGGGATTCAGCCATGTCTAACTCCAGGTTAGAAGTTGTTGGGGGTCGCTGCGTATGCCCAGATCCAGAGGAAAATTCCACATCGCATTGCAGTGAATTAACTTATTCCGAGATTCTGTCTCTTTAATAAGTTTTGGGGTTTAGGAAAGTGTCCTTCTCTCTGTCCGTCTTACAGGAGTCACTGATCCCAGTGAAACAGATTCTTTACACTAGCGTCAGGTCGGTGTATTGGGTACCATTTACTCCTAGGAGGAGTAGTGGGCCATTCAGCCCATCGATTCTTCTCCACTGCTCAGTGAGATCATGGCTGATCTGATAAGCCTCAACTCCACCTTCCCGTTTTCTCCCGCTAACTATTGATTCCCTTACTGATTAAAACTCTATCTCAGCCTTCAATGGCCCATCCTCAAGAGCCCTCTGTAATAAGGAATTTCACAGAATCACTACCCTCTGAAAATAGAGATTCCTCCTCATCCCTGTCTTTAATGGTCAACCCCTTCCTCTGAGTTGATGCTCCTCTGGTCCCAGAATCTCACACAAGGGAAAACAACCTTTCCGCATCTACCCTGTCAATTCCCTAAAGAATCTTGTATGTTTCAGTAATTTGCCTCTTGTTCTTCTCCATTCCAGAGTACAGGCCTGACTTACTCAACCCTTAGGCTAAATATACACACACACATGGTTATATACGCATACTTATATGCACAAATTGGTACATTCACACAAGTGTACATACTCACATGCACACATACATGTGCACACACAATCATATACATACAATTCTACACACACATGGGTACATTCACACAGCGTATAAATGCACGCATACAGGGATAATACATAACAGATTTACACACGTGCAGTGATACTTGTATGCACATACAAATTATCACGGGTACACACAATGTATATACGTGCACAGATATATATACAGGCACATACACATGCATATGTACATGTAAAAATATATACACAAATATATATGTACACACAAGCACAGATGCACACACAAGCACACACATGAACACATACACATGCACGCAAGCATACACGCACAAATACACACATGCAAACACATACAAAAATGCACACACATGCAAACAGATACAAACACAAGCAAACACACATACACATACAAACACATATGCACACACACATACATACACTATATAAGCACATATGCCCAATCACATATGCACACACAAGTGAACCACACTCCAGCGGGACACTCTGCAATAGTCAAGAGCGGTGGTATTGGCTAATTTAGGCATATCCTTACTGCCCCAAAGGAGGGCTAACACAGCACAGGTAAAGTATCAAAGCCTGCATCTTTCCTAATCCCTGCAGCACATTCTCACACGAAGCAAATGGACAGGCTAATGGATTGGCTAATGTTTTCACTATTTACAAGCAAGCTTCCCTGCTTCTGCCTCCATAACCTCAGCAGTGGCTCTGTGGGAGGGGATGGGGGATTGTTCACGTACACTAAACTCACTGACAAGGAGCAGCGGCTTAGCCGATCGATGTGAAGGCTCTTTTTATGGAACACAATCCTTTCCTGCCAGAATCTCTGACAAACCGTGTTAGAAATGGCACTAAGACTGGGCGACACTGTTTGTTCACTTGCCTTCCTGGTGAGGAATTTGAGGGTGCTCGCGTGTTGGTCACCGTGCTGTGGGTGAGCCTTTTGGACAAGTCAGAGTTGGTGGTTCGGATGTAGGAGAAAGGCTTGTTGGTTCCCTGGACCACTTCGTAACCCCAGGCGTCCAGCTTGGTGTCAGCGTGGCCCTCAACATGTTCAAAACCTTGGGGGTGCTGAGTCACTCGATTCCCATCTGATTCGGCCACCTCTCTGAAGAAATCCTCACGACCATTGCCTGGGTAATCGGGATTCCCCAGGCCCTTCATCAACCAGACCTGCCTCAGGCATAAGGAAACAATGAGAAATCTGAAAGGCATTTTCTTCCCTCAGTGTAAAGAGCTGATTTCTTCCTTGCCTGCTCGAGATAAGTGGAGTGGGGGAAGACTGAAGGATTCCAGCAAGCTGACTCTTGTGGTTATGTTGGTTGCCCTGTGAAAATCTCAGACAAAGAGCAAGAAAGAGAAGGAAAACTTTGCAACACTCCCAGCCTACGTGGGAAATGTCAAAAGGCAAGGGACAATACAGGCCCCCGTGTTCCTGTCAAGATTTGAACTGGCACCAATTCTGTGCAATGTCTCATAAGGAAACAGCTCACTCGCCCAAATCCTAATTTTACCAAGGGACAGGAACAAGGTAGAATGTTCTTATCAGCAGACTCAGAACAGGAAGAGGAAGCCTCCAATTGTGAGAAACAATAAATAAAAAGGTACATTTTTAAAATGTGTTGGGCAAGCAGATAACTTGTACAAAATCAACTTTAAATGTCTCCTCGATTCCAATAAACACTCAGACCCGAGTTTCTTTTGTTTTATTTATGGTCTTGCCCCCAGCCCCACCAATTAAAATAAAACTGATCTCAGAATCTGGTTGTCACTGGCAACAAGGCCACATTTCATTGTTCATTCTTCCAGGTCCCGATGGGAGACAATGGGTTTGCTAAGTTTAGTACAGCGGTTATTGCTCCCCGAAGGGCTGCTGCACACCATGATGTGGGAAATGAGGCCTTTCGCTGTGAGGCTGAAGTCACACATGGGCCAGACGGGGTCACCAGGCTGCATGAATGTGAAAGGGCACCAGTCAGTCAGCTGTACATTCCAATATTTTATGATACCGACCCAAAAAACACTGAAGAACGGTCCCGACCCGAAACATCAACTTTCCTGCTCCTCTGATGCTGCCTGGCCTGCGGTGTTCATCCAGCTGCACATTGCGTTATCAGCTTCCTTATGGGATGTCCCAAGATAACATCTGTGCAGGAATTATTCGGCAATATATGTCACTTTATGAATTGATCTTCACAAAGGCCTGCAGGCATATTGGGCCAAATAGCCTCCTTCTGCAGCATAATTAATCTGTAATGCTGTGAAACAGCCTTTTGCGTCTCATTTGCCAATGTAGGAGGACATACAACCCACACTTTTGTGGATTTTAGACTGCAGGCCTTTAATACTCTCTGATTGCCAGAGATAGTCAGGAAATATTTGACACTGAGTTGTCCATTGATTGCTCAATGCCTCGCCACCAGGAGCCAGAGTTGGATCACCGAAGGCTGAAACTATCCCAATTATCCTCAATGCCCTTCTTACCATGAGGATGTGCAAGTAGAGTTTGAACAAAAGCCAAAAGAACTGCGGATGCTGTAAATCAGGAACAAAAACAAATTTGCTGGAAAAGCTCAGCAGGTCTGGCAGCATCTGTGAAGGAAAAAACCGAGTTAACATTTTGGGTCCGGTGACAGTTCTGAGGAAGGGTCACCGGACCCGAAACGTTAACTCTGATTTTTCCTTCACAAGTGCTGCCAGTCCTGCTGAGCTTTTCCAGCAACTTTGTTTTTGTTGTTGTTGTTGTTGCAGAGTTTGAATGATTTGATCAATAAACATAGGATGCTTTGTATCTCCTTTTTGCTTGAGCAAAGAATATTTTGAAAGGTTTTCTTTATTTATTTATGGATGTGGACATCACAAGGTCAGCCTGCATTTGTTGCCTGTCCCTAAATGGCCTTGAGAAGATGGCGAAGCTCTTGAACATGGCCAGCACGGTGGCTCAGTGGTTCACTCTGCTGCCTCACAGCGCAAGGGACCTGGGTTTGATTCCAGCCTCGAGCGACAGTCTGTGTGGAGTTTGTACATTCTCCCCGTGTCTGTGTGGGTTTCCTCTGGGTGCTCTGGTTTCCTCTCATAGTCCAAAGGTGTGCAGTTTAGGTGGATTGGCCATGTTAAACTGTTCCAGAGTGTGCAGGCTAGGTGGACTAGCCATGGTAAATGCGGGGTTACAGGATTTAGGATGGGATGTTGTTTGGAGGGTCAGTTCAGACTCAATGGCCAAATAGCCTCTATCTGCACTGTGGGGATTCTATGAATAGAATAGATTTGGTTTAATTTATTGTTGTCAGATGTACCTAAGTACAGTGAAAAGTTTTGTTTTGTGTGCAGTACAGGCACGTCATAACATACAAGGACACACAGATCATAGGGTGATTGAACAGAGCAAGGCAGACAACGTTACAGCTGCACAGGAAGTGTACAAAAGCAAGATCAACTTTAGATTTGAAATTTGATAAGTCCATTCAACAATCTAATAACAGCAAGGAAGAAGCTGTTCTTGAACCTGTTGGAATGCGTTTGAACTTTTGCATCTTCTGCCTGACAGAAGAGATTGGAAGAGATTAAAACCAGGTTGGGAGGGGCGTTTGATGGTGTTGGCTGTCATTCTGTAGCAACGAGAAGTGTAGATGGAGTTGATGGATTGGCATTTGGCTCGCATGATGGACTGGGCTGTGTTCACAACTCTCTGTAGTTTCTTACAGTCCTGGGCAGAGCAGTTGCTGTACCCAGCCATGATACACTCAGGTAGAATGCTTTCTGTGCTGCATCTGTAAAAGTTGTTGTGGGTCCTTATGGACGTGTCGAATTTCCCAAAGCCTCCAGAGGAAGAAGAGGTGTTGCTGTGCCTTCTTGACAGTCGCGTCTACGTGTGTGGTCCAGGACAGATTGTCAGTCATTGTCACTCCCAGGAACTTGATGCTCTCGACTCTCCACCTCAGCTCCATTGATATAGATAGGGGCATGTCCTCCTCCCTTCATCCTGAAGTCAATGAACAGCTCTTTAGTTTTGCTGCCATTGAGGGAGAGATTGTTATCTTCGCACCACAACACCAAGTATTCTATTTCTTTCCTGTATTCTGTCTCCTCATATCCGGCCTACAATGGCGGTGTCATCAGTGAACTGGTAGATGGTGCTCGCACGAAATTTCGCCGCACAGTCATCAATGTACAAAGAGTATAGTAGGGCTGAGAATACATCCTTGCAGGGCGCCAGTGTTGAGGATTATCGTGAAGGAGGTGCTGTTGTCTATCCTCACTGATGCGGTCTGTGGGTCAGGAAGTTGAGGATCCAGTTGCAGAGGGTGGAGTAGAGACCTAGGTCACAGTGTTTGGAAATTAGTTTGGTTGGGATTATAGAATTGAAGGCGGAGCTGTAGTGGATAAGCAGAAGCCTGATGTGGGTGTCCTTATTATCCAGACGTTCCAGGGATGAGTGTAGGGCTAGGGAAATGGTGTCTGCTGCGGACCTATTGTGCTGGTAGGCAAATTGCAAGGGATTGTGGCAGGCTGGGAGGCTACAGATGATGTGAGCCACTTCATAATCATGGAGGTTAGAGCCACCTGGTGGTAGTCACTGAGGTACATTGTATGTCACGTCACGAGAAACTTTTACATGGAAAATACGGTGAAAAGTTTTATAAGTCGCCCAACCACGGTGTCTACATCAATGACAGAAGTCATACATAATAATTTTAAAAAGTAACATTAAGACAAACTTCATCAGAGTTTGGTTCATGGCTCCTGGGCTCGGAGAAAGTCAATTTAAGGAACAATGGAATACCCTGAAGATGCAGCCAGGCCACTGGAAGGCGCCAATTTGCTGGGCTGGGAGAAGCCTCTTGTTGCCCATCCAACGTCTTCCAGACGCTGCCTGCCAATCTGCTGTCTGACCCCCTTGCCGATGCTTTCACTCCTTCAGTGCCTGGGCCTAGCTGCACATCTAGAGCCTCAGTCTGGTCTAGAGTCCAGGCCAAGGGGAGTCAGCTCCTGGGTGGGGAATGGGGATTAGGTATACTAGAGTTGTGTTAGGGAGGGTGATCCAGGATTTGGAGCCAGCAACATTGAAGGAATACTGACATATTACCAAGTCTGGATGGTGTGTGGTTTAGAAAGCAATTTGCAGGAAGTGGTGGCCCCATGCCCTTGTCCTATGTGGCAGAGGTCATAGGTTTGGTAGGTGCTTTTAATAGAGCCTTGGCGAGTTGCTGCAGTGCCCCTTCTATATGGCACACAGTACTGAAGATGGTAAAGGAAGGGAATACTAACCAGTCATCATGTTCTACTGGGAACTACCAATGATATAAGTGAGAAAAACCTGTAGTCCCATAAAAGGAATTCAGTTGATTATAAAATAAGTATTCTCTGGAGTAGCCTTTAACAAATGGGAAGAGATTTTCCATTAACGAGGCATTGGCAATGCTTCTGAAAAAGACAAAGGTTGTTCATCGAGGATGTATTACACTCGAAGAGGCAGGGAGTTAATGGGCTGAAAAGCATTGATAAGTGAGGAAGTACCAACCTTATCAACCGGAAGGAAACAGCTGGGGAGGAATTGGGTGATCTGAAAGAGCGAGTCAGAGAGGGAGAAATGCAAGCGGCAAATTTACCATTAAAAACAACAGTAGGAGAGTGTTTCAGCCTCACTGAGCTCTCAGCATTATACCATGCTAAAAGGAAGACAGAAAGAAAGAAAGATTGAATATCTTACACTGAAAAGCGAGAGCCAGGACCAATTTCCAAAACATGTGGAGATGAGAAATTTAATTCTGGAAAACCAGGTGTCTTTTTGTAGCTTTAAGTTTTGATTTTGGGGAAAGATTTTAGGGAGGATCCAGACAAGGTTCATTCGGATACTCCCAGCCTGTGGAAATACAAATACACAGACTTAGGAAACTGAGGCAGTTGTTGTTCAGATATTATGGTGTAATTTGTTTAAAGGGTTTAAAATCATGACAGGATCAGACAGAGCAGACTGCATCCAGTGATTTGAGGAAACAGAGATGAACAAGATTAGAAGTAAGAGATTTAGGGCACAGGGCAGGAGAAATGATGTTACACTGACGGTTGCCAGACTATAGATGCTACCATTTGAAATAATGATTTAAGGAAAAGCACATTAACATGGAAGTGTATGTTAGAAGCATAGAAAATAGGTGCAAGAGTAGGCCATTCGGCCCTTCGAGCCTGCACCATCATTCAATATGATCAATATGGCTGATCAGCAATTTCAGTATCCCACTCCCACTTTCTCTCCAATGAGATAAACAGTGGATGGAAAAGGAGTTAAAGGGATGTGAGTGCAGGTCACATGCAAGGGTCTTGGAGCATTGCACATGAGGAGAACAAACACTAACATGAACTGAAATAAAAACATAAAATGGTGGAGATATTCACAAGTTAGATACTTCACAAAGCAGTGACCA